TATTTTTCGAAAAAAGTCTTATTTCTCTGCTACTTATGTGAATTCTCACTTACAGAAAAATCGAGCGCAAAAAAAACTGGAATTTTCAGATCAAAGGAAAGAATTGGTAAATATAAAGGTATCGATTTTTGAGCAAGAAGTACTTTCTGCTTAAAAGTAACTCAAAAAAAGAAACAAATACATCGGTCTACTGTATGAAAAAGAGTGTTGTTTTTTGTTTTTTCCTCCATCTAAGTGCAAAGCACAAAGCATAAGGAAAAGCTTTTTTTTTGCTAAAAGATTACGTCGAACAAAGTCAACAAAGCCTTCTACCTTTATTCATTGCTGGTGCAAGGGAATACAATTCTTGTATTAGTTACGTGTATTAGTGTATTGGGGAAAAGACTTCTTGGAGTTGATTTGAGAATAAAACTCGAGTTAGCTAATGGAATGATTGATTAAAGGTTAGAAGAAATTTAGGCAAACAAAATTTGTGGGTTTTGACCTTTTCCGATGTCCGTATCTCTCTATCTCATCCGGATTTTTAAAAGCTTAAAAGTAGCTCAAAAAAAAAGAAACAAATGCATCGGTCTACTGTATCAGAAAGAGTTTTTTTTTTTCTCCATCTAAGTGCAAAGCACAAAGCATAGGGAAAAGCTTTTTTTGCTAAAAGATTATGAGCAAGGTCAAGACAAGCCTTCTACCTTCATTGCTGGATACACTTCATGTATTAGTTACGTGTATTAGTGTATTAGAGAAACACTTCTTGGAGTTGATTTGAGAATAAAACTCGAGCTAGCTAATGGAATGATTGATTAAGGGTTAGAAGAAATTTAAGCAAAAAAGCATTTAAGCATTTGTGAAAAGTTTAGACCTTTTCCGGTGTCCGTATCTCTCTATCTCATCCGGATTTTTAGCGCCCTTTTAACTCCCTTTTTAACTCCCTTCTCATTGAAATTTCTCCATTATTTTTGGCGGGAAACTTTCAGTGAATGAAATCAGAAGAAATCACAAAAACGTTTGCTCATTTATTTTTCGATTCATTAAACAGCAAAGAAGAAGAAAAAAGGTTGGGCGATTGGGCGCCAAAATGTGTCCGCTTTTTTGAAATGAAAGATAACGTCTCTTTTTCCACCTTTTCAAGTCAAAGAAACAAAAAATCTTATTGCTAAAAGCTGAAAGGAAATGGCGGGAAAACTGTTGAAAACTGTTCAAAATTTTTCCTTCTTTAGATCCATTTTGTTGGCCGCATTTTTAGGAAACGGATTTCTAGGGATCAAAAAAAGTGATGCATCATGATGCCATTTGTGACACTTTTTTGCTATCTCATTTTCAAAACCGATCTGACATCATTTCTCAATGATGAATCGGCGAAATTTGCATGCATGTATCGTATTGCCCTTGCCCCCCTCACCCTCCAAAAAAATGGTACCAACCAAAGGGCAAAGCAATCTCGTGAATCACTCCTCTTTTCCACAACAACATTGGTACCAACACTGGGAAAAACAAGCAAAAAGATGTCTAGAGTTTTATGCGAAAATATCCTAGAATCCTCGTCTTAAAGATAAATCAAAAAAAGTTGGATAGGTTGGAGAAAGGAATACAAAGCATTGCACACCGCCATTGCCACAGCATTGCCCACCGCCATTGCCACAGCATTGCCCACCACCGCACTACGGGCAAGTTCCTAAGTAAAAATGCGATAAAGACAGATCAAAAGTCTGAATCCTGTAAACTTTTGGGTGCACTCCAGCTAAGAAATTCGCCAAAGATAAAAAAATTCTCAGCGCTCACAAAAGAGAAATAAGTGACCGTAGATTTTAAGGTAACATCTGGGCAAATTATCTTAAACCAAAGGATCAAATCACTAGACTTTTCTCGTTTTCTTTTCAACAGTTTACAGGATTCAAATTTTTGATCTGTCGTTATCGCATTTATCGCTATCGGAACGTGCCCGTAGTGTCGCTACAAGTTTTTGTACTTGTAGTGCGCCGGGAACCGAATCCGCACTAGCTTGTTGGGTTCTCGGTTATCAGGCGAGCGCTCTACCACTGAACTACACTGACATGTGCGTCACTGCTGTCAGGATAACGCCTTATGCCTTACTAAAAGTATTCTTTCAATGTTTTGATTTTTTTTAAACTAGATCCTAACTTTTTGACCTTTTAAGTAGCTATTTCTTTAACCTAGCACTAGATCGATGAATTTTGAGAATTGCAAGATAGCAAGATAACCTCAAAACCGAATCTCAGTATCTCCTTAGCTATTGCTTTCACTTGTACCTGGAAATAGCTTTGATCGTAGGCCAAACAGTTGGTTTAGCTTACGACCAAAGGTATTTCCAGGTCATCTTACTTCTTACATCTTACATCTTACAGAAAGTCATCTTACTGTTACGACGTAAGAATGATAAATGACGATCCAATCTACAAGTGTTATTACAATAAAATGCTAAACCCTTTATTAACAATCATTACGATATTATTGCTATATTTAAATTGAAATTTCCGTTAGACTTTTGTAGCTTTTCAAAGGGAAGACCACCCAAAAAGTCTAGACAACATTCGTTTTTTGTGTCGAGATTTCACACGACGATTTCTTAGGGAAAAACCTGGTCTATTAATGAGATCTTCCACCTCTATAAAAGAGTTTTTTCTTCTTTTTTTCTTCTTTTTTCTTCTTTTTTTCTTCTTTTTTCTTCTCAGATTCTCTTTTTCAAAATCTTCTTTTCAAATGCCAATCTCCTCATCGACATTTGCCAATAGCAATTTCCCGTTTCTGAACGGTCTTCGCCTTTCACCGATTTCCCGTCGACAGGTGTTGGATGATCTCTCATTGTGTCAATCGAAAATTCTCGCATTTCTCCGAAAGTTCTCTTGAATTTAGCCTTAGGGAAATGTGAAATACTTGAAAAGGAATCGATTTACCCTTCAGCGATATCTCGGTGAATTTCTCTTGGCTAGAGATTTACTCTTAAGTGTCAACAATAAGAGATCTTGTCTTTGGATTTTCCCTAGAGCTATATTTTAAGTTGGATTCTTAACTCTAAGCCTTTTCAAAGATCTAGAGATTGTCGAGGATTTGAATTATACTAAAAATATTATTATTGAAGCAAGAGTTAAAGCAAGAAGTTTCATATCTTCATAGATCAAAATTTGTGGTTATTTAAAAAAAAGAAACATTGAGGGAGATGTGATTGAAATGTGATTGAAGTGAAAGAGATCATCCATTCAAAAAGTAGTTCAGTGAATCCTAGCTGGGTAACGAAAGGAAAAAAACCTGCTAATCCGGTGAAAATTTCAGGGAAAAATTCAATTTCCATGATTTTCTAAGAAAAATCCTTTTGAATAAAGAATGTTGAAGCTGTTTTTTGGGTCTATCCCAAAATAGCGCCGTAACCAAAACAGCGCCAATGAAAAAAACGCCCGAAACAGCGCCCACCAAAACAGCGCCAATGAAAAAAACGCCCAAAACGCCGACGCAAAACAGAGTTTTTTTTCTCTTTTACAATGTACAATTCATTTTTTTTATTAGCAGCTTTTAATTTTGATAATTTATTTAAAAATAACATGACCAACAATTAAACGATGCATAAAAAACATCAAAATAGCATCAAATTAATAATCCAAGTCCTGGCATACATCAGAAAAGTTCTTTTTCTAAAACACAATCGTATTAATTAATAGTCCAAGCGACTCTGAAACATCATAAGTGAGAACCATTAATCCTTGAACGAAGATTTTGTTAATAGGATCCTGGGATACATCAGGCAAGTTCTTTTTCTAAAACACAATCGTATTAACCTTTTATAATTAAAAACCTGAATAGCTCCATAAACGCTCTTGAAAAAAATGTTTTGGCATAGTAATTTATCGAGTAATTGTCAAGGCAGTCTGTATTTGTCTGTGCACCTGGGTTGCCTACCCGAGATTGGCAAATACTCTCAATTTCAACTTTCCTGGAATTGTAACACTTGATGATTTGACACAAAAGAAAAATTTTACCAACATCAAAGATGCGCGTGGGCCATATAACCGTGCACTTCTTAAAAACCTAGGTTTCAGAGCTCGCGTTTCCATTGACCAAAACACAAAATTAAAAAACAGTCCCGGACCAACTTTTTGCGTAGAATTCAGAAATTTGCTTTTTGAGCCTAGTTTATCAGCTAGATTTTCGTGAAAAAATTATTTTGACTTTTCGGCGCAGAATATGGGAAAAATTTCATGGAAAAATAGAATTCCACAAAAACTCAATTCAGTATTCTGAAAGAGCGTAAAAAGAGCTATTGAATGACATATAACACTTGATGGTTCGATGAAATATGAAATTTCACTAACATCAAAGTCGCCGCCTTTAATTCTGAAATTTTGGATGATGGTTTTCGGATTATTTTATTTTTTCCGTTCATTTTTGGGCCTAACTTAAAATTTGTAGTGTTCGGATTTTTGATTTAAAGACGATTATTTTTGTTACCTATGTGCGCTGTTTTGGGTACGGCGCTGTTTTGGGTACGGCGCTGTTTTGGGTACGGCGCTGTTTTGGGTACGGCGCTGTTTTGGGTACGGCTCTGTTTTGGGATAGACCCTGTTTTCTTCTTCTTTTTTCTGTATAATGTCAAAAATTTGAGCACTTACCTTTACTTCAATTTCTTTTTATAAATCAAAAATATTTACTCTCTTGAAGAAACATCGAAATTCATTTCATTAATCAAATCGTAAAAACAAAATAGCTAAAGATGATCAAATCTATTTACAAGTCATCAAACAGATTTAATTATGATCAACATTAAAATGGTTACAAAAAATAGAATGAAACAAAAAAAAAAGTTTAAAGTGTATTACACACTGAAAAAATGTCTAAAATTTTTAGCAAATTACAACTATTTTAGAAATTAAAAACATGAAATCACAGAAATTTTAGTTAATTTTCGTGGTAGAATAGAAAGCTTTTCTATCAAAAAAAAAAAACCTACTTTACCTTTGCTAAAGTTTCCTCAATGATAGTTTCCTCAATGACACTCAATCAACATATGTTTGCGGGGATCTCCTATGTGGACTTAAACTATTGATTGTCGCCGATCCATAATGATCATATTTTTGAAGAGATCCTGGGAAACTCTCGAAATTCTCTTCTTCCATATAGCCGAAACTGCGATCGCGCATTGGACGAAGCTTTTGTCTGAAATTTGAATCTGATTTTAATTTTCATTTCATTGCTACACTTGAAGAGAAGATTGTGCGAGTTGCATAAAGTAAAGAAATGAATGGATTAAACCGGAGAGAAGATTGAACCTTTTTTTCCTTTCCGTACAACTATCCGGTATCTTCTCTAACCACTAAGCTATCCGGTATCTTTATGCTAGAGAAGAAAGAAGGAATACAAGGAAGGGAAGGAAGAGAGAGAAGGAAGAGAGAGAAGGAAGGAAGAGAAGGAAGGAAAGGAAGAGAGAGAAGGAAGAGAGAGAAGGAAGGAAGAGAAGGAAGGAAGAGAAGGAAGCTCACCTCCTTGACTCAGTTGATTCTACGTCTTGGCTGAAGCCACGAAGCATCGGATTTCTTTTAACGACTCGTGGAGAAGATTGTCCAATCAGGGGCACTTGGGGAAGTGAGTTGTACGCTGTATGGACCTGAAGTTTTGATTGAATCTTTTGATTCGGTCTTTTGATTTGATCTTTTGATTGGATCTTGATTGAATCTTTTGATTGGATTCAACTTGAACTGTTGATCATTCTCACTGTTAACTCTTTTGCGAATGATTCACCTGATATAGCGCCACGTGTCCACAATTGCGAACTCTCATCCTCTCACACATGTCGAGTGCTTGAACGGTGTTTGACGGATGGAGAATCGAGCTGTACTCACACAACAGAACATATGCAAACGGACGAGGTTGACCGTTTCGATATCTGCAAAGTTGAAGTTAAATCTTTGTCGTTTTTTTTCGAATTAAAATCTTATTCAAATTTTGATTTGATTTTAAATCTAATAAAAATGTAATAAAAATGTAATAAAAATGTAATAAAAATGTAATAAAAATGTAATAAAAATCAAATACAAATCTAATACAAATCTCTTTCCTCTCAAATCTTCAAATTCAAATCTCTAACCAAAGCGGAATCTTTAGTTTCAAATCTCTGAACGGTTGAGAAATCAACTCTATATGGTCAACATTTTCTTTTCTTTTTTTTTAAACCTTTCATTTCAATTCTCATAGTGTAAAAATGAAAGTCATAATAAAGTTTTTCCGATTTCCAATCATATTTTATCACTTCTTATCAATTCTCGACAAAATTCCCCTCAAAATTCACCCATTTCTCATTTCATTTGACATTTTTAACTCATAAATTAAAGCTTTCACTTCAAAAATCCTTAAGGAATGAATTTTTAAAAGAAAAATTCAAAAACTTCTCGGAAACTTGAAAAATTTTGAATTTTGAATATCGCGTGATGGATGAACACGGAAATTTTCTGTTTTTTTTCAAGATTCGATAATTTTTCAATTCAAAAACCAAGTTATTTTAAAACAATTACCTTTATTTTAAATATTATACAAACTTCTTAAGCTCTTGCTTTTCTTCAGCCTTTCTTTGATCTTCTTTAAGAAAAGTCTTTAAGAAACGCCCTTCTTTCGGTCCACCCTCACTCCAATCAAGTTTCCCAAAAGTTTTTTTGACGCTTTTTTTGGAAATCTTGTGATTTTAACAACAAGAAACACTGATTCTTTCAAGAAAAAAAAGCTGAATGATGTGTTCGTCTAGTAAAAGCTCTTCTTGATTTATGTCTGTAAAAGCTCTTCCTGATTTCTATCTTCTTCTTCTTCTTCTTCTTCTTCTTCTTCTTCTTCTTCTTCTTTTTTTTGTTTAGTTTTATTTTTAGCTTTTCTTTTTATCTATAAAACTCACCAATTCGGATGTCTGAGCAACGAGATTCTTCGTAAATTCCAATTCCTTGGTGAGTATTTGTAGATCTCACGAGCGCCCGACCATTGTAGCCAAGTCTTCTCAAGGGCTTGAGGCTAGAATTTGGAGCTTTGAATGATTTTTATCTACGTTTTAAAACCTCTAAAAATATCTTTTCATTTCAGTTTCGAGCTCGACTGTTTGTTTAAGGCTTAGCATCTGATCAAATCATTAGAAATCGAATTAGCTAGATTCTGATCAGGATTCAGACGCAATCCAGGTCAAATCACTAGAAATTGACGAGATTCTGATCAGAATTCGACCCCATTTCAGGCTAAATCACTAGAAATTGACCAGATTCTGACTTCAGACCCAATCAGACTTCAGACCCAATCAGAAACCGACTAGATTCTGTTCAAAACCCAGACCCAAGTCTAGCTCTTGACAAGTCAGTGGCTTGTACTCAAGTATTGAACTAAATAGAACTAAAATAGCTTAAGAGAAGAAAGCTTTATATTTGAAAACGATTTGAAAACCTTCGAAGCATCATCCAACAACTTGAAACCGATCACAATGTAGCCGGCGTGTCGATGCGCGGGCAAGCGATTCTCCGTCGAAGTAGCCGCTTTTTGAATGGTGTAAACCTCATCGTAACACCCTGAAAGTTGATTTTATCGTTATCATTATAGTTAGAGTTTCTCAAATCACCATATTGACTATTCGGTGACGCGCCACAATCCCTGATCACTTGGGTCACTTCGCCGGTTCGCCCGGTGTAGTCCGGTGAGGAGAAATGCGCGAAATGAAGATACGGGAAAAGGGCTGAAAATTTGGGGAATTTCATTTATTAATCCCTAAATTTGTTCATTTTTCTTTTAAAAACATTTTTTCATTTCCCCATCCACCCTCAGTTTCACTAGAATATTCAAGTTTTCACAATAAAATTCTCTGAACAAAGTACAAAATCTTTTCCTAGATTTAATAAGGAAATTTGATCGCCTAAATGGCGTATATTGTTTTCCGTGAAAGATTTCGTTGTTGAATATATTGCGGATATTTAACTTCAATCTTTGGAGACGAAACTTGAGAAGCTCAAAAAGAACTACTACTTTAGATAACTCAAAAAGAACTACTACTTTAGATAACTCAAAAACAACCACTCCTTTAGATAACTCAAAAAGAGCTACTCTTTTAGATAACTAAAAAAAACTACTACTTTAGATAACTCAAAAACAACTACTTCTTTAGATAACTAAAAAAGAACTACTCTTTTAGATAACTACAAAAAGAATTACTCCTTTAGATAACTCAAAAAGAACTACTCCTTTCGATAGCTACAAAAAGAACTACTCCTTCCGATAACTCAAAAACAACCACTCAAAACAACTACGCCTTTCGATACCACTAGAAAACGAAAATTCTCATTCTTAGCTCATGTGGAACAATCGCTTTCACAAGCTTGTTCAAGATTCACTAAGAAATTAGTGAACTTCTCTGCTTTCAACAAGCTATCCAATCTTAAAATTCAATCTTTCAACAATAAAATCTTCAATGTTTGACTCAAAATCGAGAAGAGAATCAAAAAGAACTTCAAATCTTTTTTCAAAACGAATTTCAAAACGTAAACCACTCAAAAACAAGAACTCCTTTCGACCACTAACCACTAAAAAACGAAAATTTTCATTCTTAGCTCTTGTGGGAAAATCACAGGCGCACAATCGTTTCCATACTCATTTTCAAACTTTCGCAAAAACCAAAAATTAGCTTTCTTTCGAAGTCTTCAATCTTTTAAGAACAAAATTTTCGATTCTTGAGAAAAAGATCTTTGATCAAAAAGCTTTTCCCTTGTTCATTTTCAAAATTTCCCAAACTAAATCCCAATGTGACCCCGAGAAATCCTTGCGAAAACCTTTCTCAGATCAAATTTCTCTTTTATCACCCAGAAAAGAAATTCGTTTGGTTTGGATTTTGATGAAGTAAGATTGAAATCAAAAATCCCTCGATTATTGGAGGGGATTTTGAGGTAAAATCTTCGTCGTTTTCACATCTATTTACGTTATCACACCAAAAATATCTGGGGAATTGTTTTTTAAATAATTTTAAAAAATTGGAGCTCTAAGAGAGAGAGAAAGAGAAAGAGAGAAAGAAAGCGGCAATTGGGTTACACCCACACTCAAATGATCCCATTGAATTATGTCCTAAAATTAGACTCTTCAATGAATAGGGAGAATTCGCCGAATTCTTTTCTAGTGAAAGAATTTAAATGTTTCAGATGATTGCTGTTTGAGGAAGTTTACTAGGTTTACTAGTCTAGTAGGTCTACTAGGTCTACTAGGTCTACTAGGTCTACTAGGTCTACTAGGTCTACTAGGTCTACTAGGTCTACTAGGTCTACTAGGTCACTAGGCACTAGGCACTAGGACTGGCACTAGGCACAGGACAAAGTCACAGGCTAAGGCTACTAGGCTACTAGGCCGAGGCACAGCCAAGGAGTAGCAGGAGACGGGAGGCGGTTGGCTACAGGCACTGGCCGGGGCACAGGACTAGGTCTACTAGGTTTACTAGGTCTACTAGGTCTACTAGGGTCTACTAGGTTTACTAGGTCTACTAGGTCTACTAGGTTTACTAGTCATAATTCAAGCTCTATCAAATCTTCAACAATGAATAGATAATCTTCAAATCTTCAAAACAACCTTTGAATACTTTGTATTAGACAATTAGAACTTAGATTTTTGAGGGATTTTCGAGAAAAATTAAAGTATTCAGTAACTTATTCAGAAAGAACTGAACTCGAAATTTGGATACTTTCATCTAAATTTAGCTCAGAATAAGGAGAGATTTGCTTGGGCTTTGGTTTGTTACTCATCGAGATTGGAGATGAAAAGATTTTCCACTTCATTTCAAGTGAACAAGAAGAAAAAAAACATTGGTCAACTAGACGATTCTAGAAAAAAAAAAACTAGTGTTTTTTGAGTTCTGCTGTTTTTTTGAGAATCTCATGGTGTTCCAGAATCCTCCAGCAGCTTTGCCTAGTTTCGTAACGCGCTCCTATTGTTGACAATCTCCAGTGAACAAGAAAAGTAATCCTTTTTTGAATCCTTTTCCACTTTTTTCTTTTTTCGGTGGAATTCAGAAACTTTATTGAAAGTATTATAAGTAAATAGATTAAGGCTGAAGAGAAGATTGTTTAAAGTAATTTAAAGTAATTTAAAGTTATCTAAAGTAATTTAAAGTTATCTAAAGTAATTTGAAGTAATTTAAAGTTATTTAAAGTTATTTAAAGTAATTTAAAGTTATTTAAAGTAATTTAAAGTTATCTAAAGTAATTTAAAGTTATTTAAAGTAATTTAAAGTAATTTAAAGTTATTTAAAGTTATTTAAGGTTATTTAAAGTTATTTGAAGTTATCTAAAGTAATTTAAAGTTATCTAAAGTTATTTAAAGTTATTTAAAGTTATTTAAAGTAATTTGAAGTAGTTGTAGTCTGAAGAAAACACTTTCTAGTACACAAAAGGGCGATGTTTAAGCTCAACTTCTCACTTTAATTTAGTTCAAAAAGATTATGGCTAAACTTGTTGGCACAAACTGGCAGAAAACTTGCTCCTTGACTGACTGGAAAGACTCTAGGCTCGATTAGAACATTCTTTTTTTCGAAATTTTCTTTAAAATAATCGAAAAGCACTTAAAATTCTTCACCTACAACTATATTTTTCATTTTTTTCACATTCAAAATAAAAACCAAACTATAGCCATTGCCAAAATGCTAAAATCGTTTCTTTTCTTTCAACAATACTTCCGGTGTCCCTTGTCAAGCTTTTTGTCGCGAACAGATCCCATTTTACTTTGAAATGCACACAAAACCTTTGAGATTTCCGTTTTCTCAAATCGCCCGTGCTCATAAAATTTCTAGTCACAACCACTTGCAAAAAGCACATAAAAAATGGCAATTCTGTTTCTGCAAAATTCTGTTTTGATTGGAAAAACTATATGAAATGATCAAAACGATCAAAATGAAAAATCAAGCTAGAATCAATCTTGAAAATTCTGAATAACTCACGCTTCAAATCGATACATTTAAGTAGAAGACCCTCAGTGAAGAGTGAACTTTCTTTAATCGAATGACACTCGGAGACAGCTTTCTCGTATGTTGAGTCTTCAGATGAGAAACTAAACGTTAATTTGATCACAAATGGTATTAAAGTTAGTAAACCCTAGGTCTTTAGATCGCTTTTTAGTTCTTGTCTAAGACAAGTGTCTAGTCTAGTCTTGTCTAGAACTTATTGTGATCTTATTGCAGAAAACTAGGTCCAAAAAAACTGAACTTCTAGTCGAACTGCAAAATCTAAAATATGCCTAACCGTAAATATCGCATAAAGTGATCAACACTATGCTGGAATTCGAGCGAGAATCGTCTCATTTTTGAGATTTTGAGATATATAGTTGAAGTTGGAGTTGGAGTTGGAGTTTAGTAAAGTGTGGATGGATGTGAAGGGGACCTTTTTTTTGAGTACTTGTCTACCCGGGAAATATCTTCTGAATGGGAGTTCCGTTCGCTAGAAAAACCCTCGGGGGAGTCCTGAAGAAAGGGCGGGGCTTGTTTCAGAGAGAATCAGTTCCGTTTACAGCTTCTTTTCTTTTTTTTAAAACAATTTCTTGATATTTCGAGAGCTATTACCAAAACAAGATCCTTACGGATTTTTTCGAGAATCCAAATTTACATTTCCACTTCAAAGCTTTTCGGGAATGGGTGTTGATTTCAAGATTTCAGTGTTGAAAGTAGGATTGGACTTTCGAGGGAAAGGTCGGATGAGAATAACAAGTTGAACTTTTCTAGGTGGTAAGCTTGAAGAAGTTGAAGTTTGTTAGGTGAATAAAGCGGTAAGCTTGAAGAAGTTGAACTTTGCTAGGGGAAAGAAGTGGTAAGCTTGAACAAGTTGAACTTTGCTAGGTGAATAAAGCGGTAAGCTTGAACTAGTTGAACTTTTCTAGGTGGTAAGCTTGAAGAAGTTGAAGTTTGTTAGGTGAATAAAGCGGTAAGCTTGAAGAAGTTGAAGTTTGCTAGGTGAAAGAAGCGGTAACCTTGAACAACTTGAACTTTTCTAGGTGAATAAAGCGGTAAGCTTGAAGAAGTTAAACTTTTCTAGGTAAAGCGATAAGCTTTAAAGTCATACCGTAAGCAGAAGCGTCTGGCGACTCTTCTAGACTTGCCTCATGTATTTTGAGCTATTTAAAAGTAGAAAAACACCCGTTTACTTCTTTGCTTTCAACTCATATCGACATTACGAACCTCAGTAAGAAAATGGGCAATTCAATGCACCAGAAAGGGTATGATTTGCACTTTTTTTTGAAGCACAAAGGGCAATTTGAAAACACTGAAGAAGCAGAAAGGAACATCAAAGTATAAGTGATCCTGATGAATTTTAAAAACTCCCTACTGGTTAATTTACCTATTAAGTTATCAAATGAGCTATCAAACTCAAAAGTTTGGATCTACTAGCGTCATCAGAGCCGTTTTTTTATATAATACCAACCACACTTTCAACACCTTCTTAATTTTGTTGCCTCTGTTGCTCTGACTCTAAATTTGTCCTCAACTACTGTGTCCAAAAAAAACTGAGCTTTTCTTTTCTAGAAGTTCCGTGAATTTCTTAAAGATCCGGTGACCTCTTCACTTTTTTTCTTCTCTTCACTGGATTTGCATGCAAATTTTGTTTTTTTCTTTTCCTGGCAAAGGGAATTTCGTTGATTTTTGGAACGTCTCAAGGTTGAAAAAAAAAGTTTGAAGGAAAGAACAAGACACCAAAAATGAGTTTTCCCATCTTTTGAATGAAATCCCTAAACGTACTCCGGCTCTACAGCTATCTGAAGGGGCATAAGCTCAAAATTCTGAAGCCATTTTGAGAAAACTAATAAAAAATCAAAAACATAAACTCATGAATATTTTTACGTTAAAATCTCTTCTTAAGTTAAGGCAATTTTTCAATGACCCGGTGAATAACATCTTTTTAAAAAGGCCCTTGACAAAGCCGGTCATGGCCGACTGGCTAAGAGTCGTCTATCATAGTCGGGAGGTCGAGGGTTCAATCCCCTGAGCCTCTTCTTCCTATTTTTTTTCGATTATATGGCTCTTCCTTGGATTTAGGACTTAAAGATTGTGCTTGTGTATTGCTTGTACTACATTATTTGTGTGAATAAATCAAGCAGCCTTGACAATCCAGTCAATAAGGGTGATGGCATTAGCTCTGAAATTTCTTTCCAAATACCATTCAAATGTTGTAGAATTTCTTTGATTTTGACTACAATTAGATGATTCACAAAAATCCGATGCGCCTGATACTAAAGGATTAAACTCACCAGCCGAAAAAATCCCCAAAATCCCAAAATCCCAAAATCCTTGGAGTTTATTCGAATCAACTTCTCATCCCCAAAAATTCCCGTTGTCTTTTTGCGCAAAAATGTTTACGCAAACGGATTTCCAGCTGAAAAGAAACGCAAATGTGAGCTGTTTGAGCAAAAATGTTTACGCAAACGGAAAAACAGCTCACATTTGGCGTTTCTTTTCAGATGGAAATCCTTGAAGAAAAGAAAAGAAAACTGAGAAAAGATAGAGTCGAAAATAAATCCCCATAGGTTATTTTGAGAAAGAAAAAGTGAAAAGGAAAAGAAAAATGACCCATTCCCAAATAAAAACAAATCAAAAGGCGTAAATCCGTTTTATTTTTAGAAGAAAACAATAGATAAATGCCTTTTTGCTTTTTTGAATCGAAGAAAATTGGAAAGCCAAAAGTTTTATTGTCTTTCTCTGACGTCTTTCCCTTTTTTGGTATCTTGTGAAAGCTATACTTGACGAAAAATAGAAATTTCAAGTATTGAACAGTGTTCTAGAAGGAGTTTCTTTACCAGGCAAAGCCTTTTCATTTAAACGCACGCTTTCTGGTGCACTCAAAAGCTGAATCTAGTACACTAGAGGGTGGATGTTTGAGTATAAGGATGGCAAGAGATAGTGTTACATAGTTACAATATTATAGTTACAATAAGAAATTGAGCCAATCTGTAGACACAATTTTTTTTTTGTAATCTCAAAACTCGTAGGACTGCAAGAAAAGTGTGTCTACAGATTGGCTCAATTTCTTATTGTAACTAGAATATTATTACTGTAATATTGCTAGAGAATGAAGCTTAGCACCTAGAAAAGTTCAACTAGTTCAAGCTTACCGCTTTATTTACCTAACAAACTTCAACTTCTTCAAGCTTACCACCTAGAAAAGTTCAACTTCTTCAAGCTTACCGCTTTATTCACCTAGCAAAGTTCAACTTGTTCAAGCTTACCGCTTCTTTCCCCTAGCAAACTTCAACTTCTTCAAGCTTACCACCTAGCAAAGTTCAACTTCTTCAAGCTTACCACTTTATTCACCTAGCAAAGTTCAACTTCTTCAAGCTTACCACCTAGAAAAGTTCAACTTGTTATTCTCATCCGACCTTTCCCTCGAAAGTCCAATCCTACTTTCAACACTGAAATCTTGAAATCAACACCCATTCCAGAAAAGCTTTGAAGTGGAAATGTAAATTTCGATTCTCGAAAACATCCATAAGGATCTGAGATTCAACACCAGTACTAACAAGTTATCTTTATTTAAACGTATTCTCTATTTTCTGAAAGCTCACAGACCAAACAGCTATTTATAAACAAAAAAAAATCTTATAAAACTCATCAAGTTCGAAATATTTTATGTGAAAGCGCTTGAAATAAAGTTATATTTAAATGAAATGATGTTGAAAAGTGTTTGGAAAAGTCAAGTAAAGACGATAAGTAAAGCAATGACGGCAACAATGGGATACGTGTCACTGTCGCTCATTCGCCGAGCGTTCGCCGAGGTTCGCGAGCACCAGCACTTTTTCCCAATGTTCAGATGGGGATCGAAAAGGGATCTATTTAAGCAAAAATATCGCTGTAAAACTGTCCAATTTTCGTATCATTTTATTGAGCCTTGTAATTTCCATGTAATTCCATCAAGCTCGAAACCCGGTGCCAATCATGTTTTGTATTCCTAGCCCCATCTATTGTCAACTAAACTCACGGGAATCCGGAACCCGATAGTGTACGGACTATCGGAATGAACAAAACCCAGCAGCACTGACACATCACTCATCGACGATGTCCAATTTTCATATCATTTTATTGAGCCTTGTAATTCCACCAAGCTCGAAACCCGGTCCCAATCATGTTTTGTATTCGTAGCCCCATCTATTGTCAACTAAACTCACGAGAATCCGGAACACGATGGAGTGTACGGACCATCGGAGTGAACGAAACCGAGCAGCACTGACACATCACTCATCGACGACGAACAACCCGAGTAATCAATCGTTTCTTCGGATTTCTGAAAAGAAAAAAGATTGATGAGATTTATAAGATGATGCCGAATTTATTGTAAATTTACTCAAATCCTCTTACTATTTACAATTAAATGTTAAAAAGACTAATGACTGACTCTAAATTTGTCCTCAAACCCAAAACTTGGCTTCCAAACTCAAACTCAAGCCCAACTAAGGCCCAGTCAAAGCCCAGCTAAAGCCCAGCTGAGTCAAAGCTGAGCTAAAGCCCAGCTAAAGCTTCCAGTTGATCGTCAAACCGTTTGGAGAAGTCTCAAAAAGTACTCTAACACTTATCACTCTCACTTTGAATAAACAACTGGGAACTTAGTTCTAAATAAATATCTAATCAAAATTTTGATTCTAAATAAATATCTAAGCTAATTTTTGATTCTAAATTCTCAATGTACCTGAATATAAACTGCTGGAATGTTTCGATTTCGAAACATCTTTCAAAATGTCACTGATCGACAATTCTTTCTGTTTCAAAGTAAGAAAAAGCCGGTCACGGGAATTCGATCAACAACCAAATTGAGCCAAATTCGGGTATTTGAAGTAGGAATGGAAGTGCTTGCAAAATCGAATCTTCCAAACAAAAAGTAGTAAATAAAATTGAGGGTAAAGTTATCCGAAGAAAAATTCAGAGTGGGCTGGGCCTTTCAAAAGGCCCAAAAGGCTCAAAAGGCCCAAAAGACACTTACAGGAAGTGCTACTGGTTTTAACTGGAAATGCCAAAAAATTCTTATTCCCTTATTTCAGGAAAGAGGAAAAAAAAAACAGGAAATTCCTCGCATCCGGGTTCAGATGTCAAGCTTTACCTTGGCAACAAAAGTAGGCAAGCTTTTGGAGTTAAAAAGCAATCGTTTAAGTGCGCTCAAATAGCTAACTGAGTTTAAAATTTGATTTACTTTGTAAAGAAGAAAAAGATGTAAATGAAATGATAGAATGAAATGAAAAAGATGAATGTTCAAAAGCTTTGTTTTATAAGTTTAAAAGTAGTCAATATAATGTAGAAAAAAGATAGAAATTAACTTTTTCGAACTCTGTGCAGAAAAGTAGCTCTTTTCTGTGAAAGCTTATTTGATGTTTTGATTTTGAATATCTCTGATTCTCTTGTCCTTTCCCTAAAGATCGTTTGTGTGATACAAAAGGGGCGGAGCCCACTTTGTATTGCTTTTCTTTGGCAAAAGAAAAGCAATAGCAATTTCTTTGGCTCTAAAACACTGAAAGCAACGATTGATTCTATTTTATTATATTTTCTCGCTAGATTAGTCTGCTATATTCCGAATAAATATCTAAAAATGATTGCCCCATCGGTAAAAATGATTGCCCCATCGGTACCCCATCGGTAAAAATGATTGCCCCATCGGTAAAAATGATTGCCCCAACGGTAAAAATGATTGCCCCCATCGGTAAAAATGATTGCCCCATCGGTACCCCATCGGTAAAAATGATTGCCCCATCGGTACCCCATCGGTAAAAATGATTGCCCCATCGGTACCCCATCGGTAAAAATGATTGCCCCATCGGTAAAAATGATTGCCCCATCGGTAAAAATGATTGCCCCATCGGTACCCCATCGGTAAAAATGATTGCCCCATCGGTACCCCATCGGTAAAAATGATTGCCCCATCGGTACCCCATCGGTAAAAATGATTGCCCCATCGGTACCCCATCGGTAAAAATGATTGCCCCATCGGTACCCCATCGGTAAAAATGATTGCCCCATCGGTACCCCATCGGTAAAAATGATTGCCCCATCGGTACCCCATCGGTAAAAATGATTGCCCCATCGGTACCCCATCGGTAAAAATGATTGCCCCATCGGTAAAATGGTTGCCCCCCGGGGCCCCCCCCGGGAAAAAGGCCCCATCGGTAAAAATGATTGCCCCATCGGTAAAAATGGTGCCCCATCGGTAAAAATGATTGCCCCATCGGTACCCCATCGGTAAAAATGATTGCCCCATCGGTAAAAATGATTGCCCCATCGGTAAAAATGATTGCCCCATCGGTACCCCATCGGTAAAAATGATTGCCCCATCGGTAAAAATGATTGCCCCATCGGTAAAAATCATTGCCCCATCGGTAACCCCATCGGTAAAAATGATTGCCCCATCTCACGCACTGCACAAACTCTTAAAATCCTATCAAATTACCAAATGGATTAGTGAAAAAGATAGGGATTTTTATAAGCTCAAACGCAGCACTAACTCTAGCTCTAGTGCACTAAATTTTTTCCAGAAATTTAACGATAAAAGAGGTCGATAAGAAAAGAGACGGTAATTTTAAGGTTGTAAAACTTAATTTATAAAAAAACGGGCAAAGGTGTAACACTTAATTTAATTAAGATTTTCAATGTAACACATACCATTCTCTAGCAGCATTTAGAACACAATGTTTTTTGAAATTCCGCAATCAAATCCTTCGTCTTTAAATGGGCAATGAATGAGGAAAAAAAAAACAAAACAAAAACCCACATACATTTTTCCTTTCAAAGCACTAATGGGTCGGCTTGAATTTCAATTTGAAAGCAAATGCTTTTTGAGCAAAAGATCTAAACAAGATATTCAGTCAATGCAAAATATAAAATTATTTTACCCATCTTTATCTAGAAAGTCATGCTTATTTTTGAGGATTGGCTACTTTGCGCAACTCACCATAACTTTCCTCTAGGTTCGCCAATCTTTACCATTTTGGTGTCATTTTGTAGATCTAAACAAGTATAACAAAATGACATCAAAATGGTAAAGATTGACCGGCTTAGAAGAAAGTTATGACAAGGCGCAAGGCACAAGGCGCAAGGCACAAGGCGCAAGGCACAAGGCGCAAGGCACAAGGCGCAAGGCACAAGGCGCAAGGCACAAGGCGCAAGGCACAAGGCGCAAGGCACAAGGCGCAAGGCACAAGGCGCAAGGCACAAGGCGCAAGGCACAAGGCGCAAGGCACAAGGCGCAAGGCACAAGGCGCAAGGCACAAGGCGCAAGGCACAAGGCGCAAGGCACAAGGCGCAAGGCACAAGGCGCAAGGCACAAGGCGCAAGGCACAAGGCGAGACACAAAGTAAGCACCCCATATTTTTGAGTTTAATAAAGTTTAAATTAAATTAATTACAATTAAAAGAAGCTAATAATCACTTAAATTATCGATTTAAATAAGAAAAAAAAGAAAATTGGTGGGGTTTTTCGTTGAAAATAGCTCTGAATGACAGAATGAGATCAAAAATTGAGGGAAAGCAAGTAAAGCAATTGTGAATCGTTTGTGTGGACAATGAATGCATGTTTTATGAGAATAAAAGAACAGAGCTCTACTTATTGTCGGAAAAAGCTTGACTCTTTTTTAACCAGAAATGAAATTTGAAATGAAAAGGGCTTCTTTAAAGTAGACGTTTCTGAATTCATCGAAAAGTTTAGAGCAATTAAGCCAGTTCCAATTGGTAGCTTGGTAAATAAATAGTTTCAATCGATGGCTAACCCTGAAAACCCGGCTACAATTACAATTCACAGCTGAATATCTTCTTTTTAGGCCATTTACAAAGGAAAACAAAATCCTGACTGGTGTTCTTTGTGCGCGCCCACAATCGCTCTCCATCTGGCAAACGGCGTTAGCATAAGGGATTTCCGTTTTCGTTTCGTTAAAGAGAAGGAGAGGTCAGCGATTTGCGGTTGTTATACTTAAACAGCAGCCAAACTGATGAAACAATGCGATCTGACTCACCATCTATTATTAATGTACTTGAATTGATACATTTAATTTAGATTTAATTCCAATATTTTCAAATAATTCAATAATTCAAAGACAAAAAGTAGGTAATCGGAAATCAGCTTGTAAAATTATCAACATATCACATCTAAATCGACTTAAAAACCACATAAAAACCATTTTATCTGTTTTTTTTTCTCTTTTCTCTCACCCTCCTCAATTTCCTATTAATCAAAAAATCGTCTTTCTAAAGAAAAGTTCTTCTCTTTTTTATCCAATTCCAAATTCAAAGTTTTCTCGGTGAAATCTCAGTGCACTTAATGCGCGATTTCCGGGCGGAATTGTTGAAGGCAAAAGGATTTCCCCCCAATAGTTTATAGGTTAAAATGCATAGAAAAATAAGAAAAGGAAATGGGAAATTCGAGTTCACGCTTTTTACACGTCTAAATAAATAAATTGATTATGGAAAAATAAAAGGATTAACTGAGGAAAATGCAAAAGCAAAGCATTTTAATTAGCTTTTTCAAGTTTTCACTTAAAAGAACGCTCTTGATCATGGAAAATTTGCTTTTCTATAAAAGAGCAGTGCAATGATCAAGTAAATTGGAGTTGAGAATTTAGGATTTTAAGGGAAAAGTCCCAAAATCTCTGGAAATCTGATCGAATCTCTGAATCATTTGCAAACCTGTCTCAGTGGCGCCTGTTGCACAGCTAAACGATTCCTCTGCGGGCCCTCGGTGGCCGATCTGTGCAATGATCGTCCCCTCGGCGATTGTCTTTCCTTTGATCGCCCGAAACCCGTCAACGTTCTCCGAAACGATCCATAAACGGGTTTCGGTGAACCGCGTGAATCACTCTGTGATTTGTTCACTTCTTTTCCACTCATCTCCATCTCTCCGAGCCTCAAATTCTCGTGTTGTGACGAGAAACGCGGCATTTCGTGCGAATCGCGAAAATCTTGCGCTGAATTCGATTTCAGCAACTCAAAAGAATATTGCTCTCTGGCTAAACGACGAGTGCGCAAAGCTCGGAACATCCCATGAACGACGTCCATTTTTCCACGATTTTCGTGATAAAGTGAACCTTAAAACAAATCTTGAGAGAAATCGAGAGAAATATCAATCGAAGATTAATCGAATATCAATCTTGAGAGCTACAAGATAACTAGATAAAGCTTTACTCTCATGTGCTTTCAAAAAAACGAAAATGAGCCCACTTCTGATGCACTGAACTCAGATTGCTTACAGTCAGTGATGCGTCAAATGACGCGAGCTCATAAACGATCTGCTTATGACTCTATAAAATCAGAAATCGAATGCCCCAGAAAGGGTATGTTTCTGAAATTTTGAGCAAAAGGGAAATTTGGATAAAAGAAAGAAGAAATTAGAAAATTAGAAAGAATTAGAAATTGAAGAAATTAAAGAATTAGAAATTAAAGAAATTAAAGAAATTAAAGAATTTAAAGAATTTAAAGAAATTAAAGAATTAGAAAATAACTCTAGAATAGTTTTTCTTTTGATGGGGAATTTTCATTGAATAGAAAAAGAGAACGTCGTCGTTTTTAACTGATTAAAAAAAACTTTTCTCCAACTCACGTTCTCCGATGATTAAATGAAATGAAAATGGGAATAGATTGAAGTTGAAAAATGAAATGAAATGAAAAACAGATGAGTTTTATGGTAAAGTAAAGTAAAGTAAAGTAAAGTAAAGGAATTGAATTCAACTGCTCTTTCATTTTTCGTTCAATTACC